TATGCACCACTAATTTTATATAATGCCAGTTGCTGCATTGATATTAGACATGAAATACCTGCACATACGATGTTTGAAACACTTTAAATAAATGAACATTTCTAATTTCATTGAAATCAATTTCACCATGGTTTATTTGAAGAATTACCTTCTAAAACTTGAGTTTCTTTGCTTTAATAAGGAGTGAGTTGAAAACAGAGGCAGGTGTTGAGCACAGTGGGTTAAGCCACTGCCTGTGGAGGTGGTATTCCATATGAGTGTCAGTTCAAGTCCTGGTTGGTTTGCCTCTGATCCAGTTCTTTACCAGTATACCTGGGAAAGGAGGGCAGGATGGGATTCCAGGCTCCCAACACTGGCCTGGCCTAACCTTGGTTAGCTGTTTGGGAAGTGAACCCACTGTCTTTGACCCTTGTACCTCAGTAGCAAACCTGGAAAGAATCTCCTGGCTTCAGATTGGCTATGCTTCAGCCATTACAGCTACCCGAGGAATGAACCAGAGGATGGAAGATCTTTCTCTCTGTGTGTCCTTTTCTCTGTAAATCTGCCTTTCCAATAAAAACAAGTAAGTCTTTAAAAAAATTTTTTCAGTCTACTGCCATATATCCAGGTATTGTCCTAAGTATATTTTTAGAACATTTCTTTAAGTGTTTCTATCTACTTAGAAGGCACAGAGCAACAGAGAGAAGCGGGGAACAGCCAGCCTCAGTCTGACGCTCCAGTATGGGATGCCAGCAGCACAGGTACCGGCTTAGCCTTCTGAGCGCAATACCCACTCCTAAGGAATAATTTCTCCTCTTAATGCCTTCCTTTAATTCAGAAAAACAATGGGCTGTTGTTCCAGACAACTAGCAACCGGATAAAAGCATTAAGCATGTGAACTTACAAATTTACACAGTATGGATGAATACTGTTTTCTATAAGTGATGATTAAGACATATAAAAAAAACTAAGGTCCTTCAAAGATTAAAAAGCAACAGACTCACTGAACAAATACCAAAACTATTGCCAGCACGTGCAGTGTTTCTTACAGAGAAAACATAGTCCTAAAAGCACTAGTAAAAAGAGGTTGATAAAATTCTTTATGCTAGGTATGTGCTTGCAAGGAAGGAATCTCAACTGAACTTGAACTGTGGTTATGCAGCAAGGTGGAGGAATCCACCATGGGGGGAGGGGTATGGGAGGGGTGGGGGGAATCCCCAGTGCCTATAAAACTGTATCACATAATACAATGTTAATAACAATAAAAAAAAATTCATTAAAGTGTTACTGGCGGTGTCCTGAGAGATGGGTAAAGAGGAACAAGGGCGAAAAAGAGATCTTTTCCCCATGTTACATCTCCCTTGAATGTATCTCCTAATGAAAACGTTGAAACAGTCAAGTGGTACCCAAGTTGGCCTGTTCCAGTCACGCCTACTGTGCTTTGTATCCAGTTTTCAGCTGATGTGCCTCTAAGTAGCAGATTGAGGCACTCTCTCCTTTCTTTCCTTCTCTCCCTCTTTCCTTCTCTTCCCTCCTTTCTTCTTTCCCCCTCTCTCTTACTCTTCTGGGGTGTGTTTCTCTGTGTCACTGTACCTTTTAAATAAATGCGTATTTAAAGTATTGTTCTGTAATGTTTGTTCAGTAAAACAGCAAGTTGAAACGGAAGCCACTAATGCAGTGTGAAACTTAAACTACTCTTTTTAATTTTTTTTTTATGATTTATTGTTACTGGAAAGGCAGATCGATTTACAGAGAAAAGGAGGAACAGAAAGATCTCCCGTCCTCTGGTTCAACTCCCAAATGGCCGCAATGGCCGGAGCTGAGCTGATTCTACCACAGCAATCAGGAGCCCCTTCCGGGACTCCTGTGCGGGTGCTGGGTCCCAAGGCTTTGGGTTATCCTCCACTGCTTTCCCAGGCTGCAGGCAGGGAGCTGGATGGGACGTGGAACAGTCAGAACAACAATCGGTACCCACATTGGATCCCAGTGCTTGCAAGTTGAAGGTTTGTCCATTGAGCCAGCATGCCAGACCCAAGCTACTCTTATCTCTAAACAGAGCCATGAAAAAGTACTAGCAGTTTGCTCGATTCCATCTCCTGGGGACTTAGCTCTCGTGATTTTTTTTTTCTCTTGTTTAAGTTTCTGGTCCCTTTCCTTGATACCTGAGGCTACTCTGTTTTCCTTGTACGTTAGTCTGGTGGGAAGTTTGTTAAGTAAGCAAGTCTACTATACACATGAAAAACGGTCTGCAGAAAGCGGTGTCTCAGAGGTGCCAGGATCTCGGTCCCACTAGCCTATCAGCATGCAGTCTCATGAAGCAGTGGCTGAGCTCAGCGTATGTGTGTGTGTGTGTATGTGTGTGTGTTGGCTGTTTGGAACCCTAGCGCATCCCTGTCCCTAGACGATCTATGCAGGGACGGACAAAAAGAGATGCTTTGTGTAACAGAACAAAGATAAAAAAAAAAACTACGAAAAGCATGTGGTAATGGCTCTGGCCAGAGGTGGCGATTGCCTTGGGTTGCGCAAAGGGGCATGAATTCGAAAAGCTGCATTCTGCAATTGAGCCATCCGGGAATATGCAAGGCTGTCTGCAGAGATCAGGGTAGTGGTAGGAGAGGGATCATTACAACAGAAGGAAACCGCTAACTTTCTGCGGTGATGGCCATGACCTGATGCCTCTGTCCGAATGCATGAGCTGTAGATGAAGGAAGTCTGGCCGTCTGTGGATCAGGAAATTGATGAAGAAGATGCAGTTTGTCATTTCACTGGCCGTGTGAACCTGGAAAGGGTTGGCGAGTCGCGACGAGATTGCCATGTTTTAATGTTTTCAGTCATCATAGCGCACTGCCTATAGAAGGAGTTCCAAAATGTGCACTTTTAGATAATTAGTGCATTTTTGTTATGAATAGCATAATTTACAGAAATCTTTTGGGTAGGCCAGAAAGTCCCTCTGTGAAAAGGATAAAGCTTTCCCTACACCCCTTGCCAGTCACATTGCCAGGCTGTGACCTCTGCCAAGGCAGGTTGGTTTGTGGGAACATAGTGCTGATCTGTGCCCAAGGCAGGTTGGTTTGTGGGAACACAGCAGCTGATCGGTGCCCCAGGCAGGTTGGTTTGTGGGAACACAGTGCTGATCTGTGCCCAAGGCAGGTTGGTTTGTGGGAACACAGCAGCTGATCGGTGCCCCAGGCAGGTTGGCTTGTGGGAACACAGCAGCTGATCGGTGCCCCAGGCAGGTTGGTTTGTGGGAACACAGCAGCTGATCGGTGCCCCAGGCAGGTTGGTTTGTGGGAACACAGCAGCTGATCTGTGCCCAAGGCAGGTTGGCTTGTAGGAACATGGCGCTGTTCTGTGCCAGCTTGTCCTGTGTCATTTGTCTCAGACACACCAACGCAGCAGTGGCTGTGGGGCTACCTCATTCTCTTGCATGGTTGCATCGTTTCAACTTTGGGGTCTCCTCTTTTACTTATGGATATTCAGATGGCCTCTACCAGGAGAAAACTGGAAATGAAGAAATAGAAATTATTGTTTTTGTGAATTCAGCATGGTGTGCTTGTGCAAATACGTAGGACATAACTGCGAGTGGGATTATCGATCCGAAAGGCACTTTGGTATCATAAGGCCACACTGCCCTCTAGGCAAGTTGTGACAAGTTTGAATTCCACTCACAGGCCTTCTTCAGAGCTAAAGGTGCACCTGCAGATTCATGACCATTAAGTACAGTTTGTTACTTCAGTGTAATTTATCAGCGCATACAATAGAAAGTCGGTATGAAGTGAAAATTAACACAGTATGGATTAATGAAGTAGATATTCTTAGGATGGTTTTTTGGACAATTAAAAAAATCTTGATTCTGAAGTTAATGAGGTATAGAAGTAAAGAAAAAAGGGGAGTGTTTTTATTTATTTGAGAAACAGAGACAGAACCCTGATCCGCTGGTTTACTCCAGACACTGGAACAGCCAAGCCCTGGGCTGGGAGGCAGGACCAGCAGCCGGCACTAGTCAGGTTTTCCACAGGAGTGACAGGAACCCAGTTGCTTGAACCATGCCTGCTGCCTCCCAAAGTCTGCATTTGCTGGAAACTGGAGTCAGGAACCGGAACAAAGAACCTACCCCAGCTGGTCCACTGTGAGACAAGAAGTCAGATAAACAGAGAGAAGGAGAGACAGAGAGGAAGATCTTCTGTCTGTTGATTCACTCCCCAAGTGACTACAATGGCCGGAGCTGAGCCAATCCGAAGCCAGGAGCCTCTCCCAGGTCTCCCACATGCGGGTACAGGGTCCCAAGGCTTTGAGCCGTCCTCAACTGCTTTCCCAGGCCACAAGCAGGGAGCTGGATTGGAAGTGGAGCTGCTGGGATTAGAACCAGCACCCATGTGGGATCCCAGCGCCTTCAAGGCAAGGACTTTAGCCGCTAAGCTATCACGCCAGATCTAAGACAGGTTTTTAACCACTATGTTAACTACCTCTACCCAATTTGAACCAGAGGTAAAATAAGTTTTGACAGAACTAATTTCATTTTTCCTGTATATTTTCTTTCACATTTTTAAATCGTGGTAATATCTGTATATAAATGTGAGATTTGCTACTTAACCATTGGTAGGTGGTTCATTCAATGGCATTAACCGCACTGCTAACATACAACTATTGCTGCTTCCAAATGAAATCTTTATAAAAGTGAAATACAGTAAAATGTATCATTTTAAGTATTTGTAATATATATTCACAGTATTTTGCCTCTGTCACCACCACCCATCTTCAGAACTTTTTCATATTCCCAAACTGAAACTTTGTACCCATGAAACCAAAAGCTGCCCATGCCATGCCAGCCTCTGGCAGCAGCCTTCTAGCTTTCTGTTGAATTGCAGGATCTAGAACAGTGCCTAGAATCTGTTCCTTGCATGCTTGTGGAATAAAGCATACGTTATAAATGTAACAGTGTGTGCCATAGGCCCGGTCCTGGAAATGCCAGTCTGTGTGTGTCTGACTAGACTCAGGTTGCTTTCTTGTCTTTTCCGCAGGAGATTGACATCTTCCAGTAACAAAGCAAAAGAAGACAGCTGGCTGAAATCCTTGTTCGTCCGGAAGGTCGATCCCAGAAAAGATGCTCACTCCAATCTCCTGGCCAAAAGAGAAACAAGCAGTCTGTACAAGATACAGTGTGAGTGAGAAACGTGCTGGCCTCACGGTTGGCTTTTCTTCTCTCCCCCTTTTGTTCCTAAGTTTGTCGTGGGCTTTTCTTTTTGTTTCAGTTCACAATGTTAAGCCGGAATGCCTAGAAGCATACAACAAAATTTGGTACGTATGCCAAGCCGTCCTGCACGTGGGGAAAAGGGTACATTTGGTATTGGTTGGTTCGGCCAGCGGTTGGTAGAAGTGCTGAGAAGTGCTTGCATCCCATCACTGAGGCTGAGCTCTCAGAGGTCATTCAGCCAAGCTCCAGGCGAGGCTGCCCACATCTGACTCGCCGTGTTATCTGTTAGTCATGGGGGTGTTACTCTCGACTGCCAAGGCTGCAGGGAACCTTGCAAGATCACCTGCTCATCCAGGCTTGAGTCCTTTCTGCAGACTCTCCAGCCTGCCCGTGCTAACATCTGGGCAGCCGTTAGTCACAGGAGTGCAGTTCATATCTTTGTGACCTCCATTGTCTCCAGTTTTCCTCTTGGGTAAAACTGACCCATGAGAGTCCTGGGCGTGCGTGAGAACAGTGTCCACTTCTTCCCAGATCTTCCCATGTACAGGATCCAAGGCCCCTTGGCCAGTTTCCCTAGGATACAAGAAAGATCTTATCAGACCAGGCACAATGTGCTAAAGTCTGAAGACACGTCTTGCATTTCCCAGGATCCCATATGGGTACTGATTCATGTTCCAGCTCCCCCACTTCCCATCCAGCTCCCCTACTTGTGGCCTGGGGAAACAGTGGAAGATGGCACAAAGCCCTGGGACTGTGCACCCATGTGGGAGACCTGGAAGAGGCTCCTGGTTCTTGACGTCAGATTGGCTCAGCTCTGGCTGTTGCAGCCACTTGGAAAGTGAACCTGTGGATGGAAGATCTTTCTGTCTCTCTGTCTCTGCTTTAAATCTGCTGTTCCAATAAAAATAAATAAAGCTTTTTCAAAATAAAAAGAAAAAAAACTTGTCAGCTTTAAGAGTAGAGGGAGAATTAATTAGATTTTTTAAGTGATCCCGAATACAATGAAGAAGTATATTTTTCTTTTCTCCCATTTAGTGCCTGCCCCTTTCATGAGAAAGCAATGATCTTGTCTGCAGAATCAGCATAATTGTCAGGAGCAAAAAGCTGTTGCCATGCTGTTGTTTTTGGTTCTTGAAGTGTCCTGCGAAGTGTGACGTTGGCAAAGACTCCCTAGCTCACCTCAGCTCATTGCTCTGTTTGCAGAGTGCCTGAGAGCCGAGCAGATACTTGTGTCTAAGTATTTCCTCCTAGAATGAAAAGTCTTCTCTACGCCGACATCCCCTGGTTTATCCTTTCCTGTCTTGTTTTGCTCACTTCATCTCCTGTCTCAGGTTCCTGACTGTCCCCTCCTGCGTATGTCTGGACATCCTACTGTCACTTGAGGCCACTGTGCGCTCGCCATGTTTCACGTAGCTCTAGTCCTTAGTTCTTTGTGGTGAGTTGGCCGCTAAGGGCTGTGTGTCCTTCGTTTGACATGTGCGGTGGTTCTCATCGCTTGTTTGCCCCTCCATCTCTGTCTCCAAGCCTGTCAAGCCCCGTTGCCTAGGAACCTGCTTGCTGACTGCTCCTCTGGGCTCGAAGCTCTGCCTGGATTCCATCCTACCCTGCAGTCCGTGACCCACAAGTTTGTCAGATCGATCTGATGGATTACGTTTTGATTTGTTTTTTGTTTTTTTGTTTTCTCTGAAACTTTCAGCAGCTCCCTGTTTCCAGAACATAAGGACCTAACTCCTGCCTGGGTTTTAGGGGCCCCCAATAATGAGATTCTGCCCAACCCATCCAGTTCTGGGTACAAGCACTGCCTGCCTTACAACTCCCGTTCAGGTAAGGCCAGGGCTGCCAAGAGCAGATTTGGGGCCCCCAGCGAAGAGAATTGGCTACCAACCCATATGTGACTTTATGTTCGCTCCCAGCCCAGTCCTGTACCCCACCTCAGCCATCTGTACTAACTTCCTTCCTCTATGCTGGCTTCAGCCTCAGGTGGTTTGCTTCTTGCTCATGTCATGTGCCAGAAAAGAAACCCATTTCTATTTCCCACACTTAATCTTGCCCCATCCCTGACTTTTGTCAGTCTCATTATTCTGAACATCATATCTTAATTTAAAAAGTAAATGCCAACCTTAAACAAATACGCATGGTGTAGTCATGGTGGATCATAAATACCTGTAGGTTTTCAGTTAGTTAGACATAGGCCATTCAGAGGTTTTCTCTGTTAGCCGGTCACATACGCCTGGTCCTGAGACCCCCGATAGGGTGGTAGTCAGTAGCTTAGTTTCATGCAGCATCAGCAGGTAACGTAACCAGATCCCATTTCTGACCTGTGATGTCCTTTTGCATCCAATGTTGAACCTCTATGTGTTTTTCATCATAACGTTTCTAGTTAAACACTGTGTAGGTCTTAGCTTTTCTCTTGCTGTGGGAGTTACACCTCTTCCTTTGCCTGTGCATTAGGTGGACTGCTGTTCATCTGAGACCCTGCTGTGACCTTTGCTGGCTTTGCCACTGCCCACCCCGTCCGCTCAGTGGCCATCAAGTGGCTGCTGTGTTCAGTGTGACTGTATGATACTCTTGAATCCCCTCAGCTGGTTGAATTGAGCAGAACTTCATTAATGCTTCATGCTGTGTTTTTAATTTTGATGCTCTGCCATATAGCAGATTGAGATGGCTCCTGTGTTGTGTTTTGGCTCTGGCTTCTTCCTCCTCCCTTCGGGCCAGGTTGCTCTCTGGTCCCTAACCTTTGCTTGCGTGTGCCACCTCTGTGGTCTGCCTCTGCCTTGGCCATTAGTTTCTTTCCTTCTTTCTTCCTTCCACGGTTTTTTCTGCTGTTCGCGTGTCTTTCATCCTCCCTGTCTTTGGAGCCAGCAGAACTTAGCTTTTTATAAACACTGCATTCCTCGGTAGAACTTTCTTGTTTTCTCCCTGAAATGGCAAGGAGTAGACTGTGGTTCCTGGAATCTTGGGGCCATTGGTTCTTCTTTGTCATATTTATCCGCATACTTGAGTTTGCTTACAACTGTTCTATGAAGTTAGGCTATCAGAAACCTGAGCTTTTGTTGAATAGGATGTGGAATACAGCAGAATTCAGGTATCATATCATATAGCTGCATGTCATTTTACCCTATGTGTGCGAGGAGGTCAGAAAGCCTTAGATTCCGTTACTGACTTACATGTAGTTCACCCGGTAAAATTGTGTTGCTTGTTGAATTAATGTTGCTTTTCCTTCTCTTTAAGTCAGGAGGTGTTGCCAAAGATTCATGAAGATAAACATTACCCCTGTGCTTTGGTGGGGACTTGGAACACGTGGTATGGCGAGCAGGATCAAGCTGGTAGGAAGCAGAAATCCTTGCCATAAGCGCTTCTTCCTTAAGCCTCACCACTTAAGTCATTTTCTAACTCAGTGCTTGTCTTTTCATAATCAGAGCTTTCTGTTCTCAGCCGCATCTCCAGTAATACATTACTGATCTGTTGCTTGTAATGTTTGAATCTGTTGTGGAATGTTTGTGATATAACGTATAGGCTGGCACGTGGTACGTTACAGTTTAGTACTGCGTTATCATTGGGTGTATCTGAAGAATTCTGAAGCTAAGGATATCATGAAATTCTAAACGTCTGTTGTCTTCCAAAATGCTTTTCAGTCCACCTCTGGAGGTATGAAGGAGGCTACCCAGCACTCACAGAGGTCATGAACAAGCTCAGAGAAAATCAGGTAATCTTTCTGAAAAAAATGTTTACTGATTTGTACTGAAGAGAGTAGGTTTAGTGTACAATTAAATGTCATCAGTTTTCATGGAATATTCATTTTTTTTATAATGCCAATTCTGTCATCTGGATCCTCGAGGTTGTCGTTAAGCATGAAGTAACATGTACAATTCTATTGAAATACCCGTTTTTATTGTGAAAGTTGTGCTTTGAAATCAATAAACAGGGCCTGGCACAATAGCATAATGGTTAAGGTCCTTGTCTTGAACACGCTGGGATCCCATATGAGCGCTGGTTCTAATCCCGGCAGCTCCATTTCCCATCCAGCTCCCTGCTTGTGGCCTGGGAAGGCAGTAGAGGACAGCCCAAAGCCTTGGGACCCTGCACCCGCGTGGGAGACCCAGAAGGAAATTCCTGGCTCCTGGCTCCTGGCTTTGGATCGGCTCAGCTCTAGCCGTTGCAGCCACTTGGACAGTGAATCATCAGACGCAAGATTTTCCTCTGTCTCTCCTCCTCTCTGTACATCTGCCTTTCCAATAAAATAAATAAATCTTTAAAAAAGAAATCAATAAACAGGTACTTGGAGCGTCTTGATGAGCACAGCTGGTCATTTCACATACACCTGCTCTAGGAGCTGTCGTCCACATTTAGGTTCCTTCTCCTGGGCCTACCAGGCTGCACCACGTCTCCCTTGCTAGTACGTGCCTGTTACTAGGAGGAAGTTTTAACAGTCATCCATCATTCAGAAAGGAAGTCTTTTGTGTAGGTGCCCAGGCAGCTGTGCAGGACATTGCTGTTATATGGCCCTCACGTCACCTCGCTTAGGAAATGTAGCCTGATAATGCAGCATGGCATCTAAACCTGGAAACTTGCGAAAATGGAAGGGAGAGCTGTTTGTGTCCTGCCTGATCAACAGTTAGGAATTGGGACTGCGTCAGACTGGGACCTTTCTTTATCCTACTTGGAATAGTACTTTGTGGGAAGAGAAATGTTCCTAGAGGACATTTGTACAAAAGCGTTGCAAGATTTCATGAGCACGTCTTTCTCCACCCAAAGGAATTTGTGAATTTCCGCAAGGCAAGAAGCGACATGCTCCTATCCAGGAAGAATCAGCTGCTGTTGGAATTCAGTTTCTGGAATGAGCCTGTCCCACGCTCAGGACCCAATATATATGAACTCAGGTCTTACCAGCTCCGAGTAAGTACTGAAATGCAAGTTACCCGTTCCACCCTTCCATGACAAGTCATAGGCTCTCCCTCATGCTGAAGCAAAACCCAATGTGTTCTCCAATGTGTAGGTTTCACATCCTAGCTTAATTCGATTTTGTTCTCCCTGTGTTTCTTTCGTTTCCTCTCCCGTTCCTCCTTCTCTGCTAAGTGCTTTTTGTCTTGAATGATCTCATACATAAAGTCCATTGTTTGGTGTTTTTCCAAATAATGCATCTATTTTAAAGAAGAAAGATCTAAAGTACAGGACCACTCAGTACAACATAAAGTATCTACTGTGATTGAACTAGAATAAGCATTAATAAACATTTGAACTATTGAACAAATTGTACAGCGCTATAAGAGTACAAAAGCAATAATCTTTTATATTTTCTAAATATTTCCCACTACGCAAATACTAAACAGCCCCAAGTGGCATTATTATTTTCTTAAGTCAACACATAGCAAGTATATAATGCATAATTATCAGGATGAATTGGCTTATCCATCATCTTCATTTCTTTGTGTTGGGAACATCCAAAACCCTCTCTTGCAGCTGTTCAAAACACATGATTGATGGTTTTCAACCTTAATTGCACTGTTGTGCTAAAGAATATTGGATTCGCCAAATTAATCAGCTCTACCCCTAAACCTGTTAACCTCCCCTCCGCTTGCCCCTGCACCCCTCTACCATTCCCAGCCTCCTGGAGCAGCAGTAATACACAGAATACAAGCACAGCACATCTTGCTGATCTAATAATCACTTTTACGTTGGAAGAGATCAAGGAATGTCCCTGTTTGATGTCCAAGAGTGAATTTTTTGAAATTGTATTTTTTAAAGTTTGAATGGGTACCCACAATTTATTCATGATTTTAGTACCTATGAAAGATGCTGCTAATTATGGTCTTAATAACCATGCCTGAATAATTTATTCTTCCGTTGTTATATTTTTGAGTGAAATCCTGTTTCTCCACCACGAGATAATAACCATATTTTACTACTTTTTTTGTTATAATCCCCTATTATGAAAAGTTCATTTTTAAGTTTTATCACCTGATGTTTTTATATGTTTTGATAGAACTAACAAACCAAAATCTGATTCTTTTTTCAGCCAGGAACGATGATTGAATGGGGCAATTACTGGTGAGTATATTACTGAATTAGTCTTTAAGTCTTGATGATCTATGGACTAATCCTGGGAAATAAGGCATCTTGAATAATGCTCTCACTTTACCCTCTTTCATTGTTTTTATGACATTTTTTTAGTCATATACAAAACTAGAAAGAACAAATCCCTTGGTTTCTTCAGTTCCTACTCATTCCTTTGCTACACTGATTATCAATGTATTGCCATCCTTGTTTAGCTGTAACTCCTTGTATCCAGAATACGAAGTCCCACATGACACACTGTTTCATCCATAAAAATTCAATGTATATTTTGCAGAGAATTATTTTTTAACAGGACGCCAGTAGTGTGTAAAGATATATCATATCCTTCTTGGATATTATCTTTGCTAAACGGTACCTCTGTCACATAAGCAGAACTGTAGTGCGGTGATTATTTCCTCTTCATATTTCAAGTAACAGTATACAAGCTTTTCCCTAAATTGAGTTGTAGATTGAACACAACCTTTATCCGAATCCCAGCAGGCTCTCGAAGTGCAGAGGACCCAGATTCCCCAAAACAACCTTAAAAAAAAAAAAAAAAACAGAGAGGACTCAGTTTTCTCTATTTTAAAACTGACTAAAAGCTACAGTAATCAGGACATTATGGTCTTGGCATGCAGGCAGGCATACAGGCAGTTGGCATTGTGACAAAGCCAGTTAGACTGCCATCTGCAACGCTGGCACCCGTGTGAGTGCTGATTTGAGTTCTGGCTGCTCTACTTCCAGTTTAGACTCCTACTAATGCGCCTGGAAAGATGGCCCAAGTCCTTGGGCCCCTGCACCTGTATTAGAACCCTGGCATTCCAGGCTCCTGGCTGTGACCTGACCCAGACCCGGCCATTGCGACCATTGAGGAGTGAATCAACAAATGGAAAATCTCACAGTGTCTCTCCATCTCTCCCTTACTCTATCACTCTTTCAGATAGATAAGTGTTTTGTTTTTTAAGAGAGAGAAGAATCAAAGTCCAGAATGTGGGAACAATTGATTTTTTTTTCTAAGACTTATTTATTTACTTGAAAGAGTAATAGAGTGAAAAAAACAGAGGCGATCTTCAATCCACTAGTTCATTCCTCAGATACCTACAACTGCCAAAGGTGGGCTGGGCCATGTCAAGGTCAAGAGCCATGACCTTAGCCTGGTCTCCTCACGGGTATCAGGGACCCAAACACTTGGACAATCTACCATCTGCTGCCTTCCCAAGTGTGTTTTTAGAAAGCTGGTTTGGAAGGGAAGGAGCTGGGACACAAACTAGACCATCTAATATGGGATGTAGGCATTCCAGATGTTGGCCTCACCCGCTGCACCAAAACAACTGCTTCAAAGCAATTTTTAACAGATATTCCAGTGTTACTTCAATGGGGAGAAGGCAGCGTTTTCAACAAAAGGTGCTGAACCGCTGACTGTCCTTGAGAAATATGAACGTAGGCTCCTATCCCGTGTTACACACAAATATGAACGTAGGCTCCTATCCCGTGTTATACACAAAAGTGAGCTCACACTGGATCATAGACCAAATGTAGGAGCCAAAATATAAAGCTTGCATAATGGTGAACACAGCTGCCTTCCAGTATATAGAAGTTTGGGAAAATTGAGGCCATTGGCTCTTGGGACCCCCACATCTGCCGTGGGAGATGCGTCCAATCCAGCAGCCTATCAGGACCCATCCTGATTAAGTGCTTGGTTCCCTGCCATTCACCTGAACAGCTGGTTGTCTGACCTGGTCCAGCTCTCACTGTTGCAGCCTTTTGGGGAGTGAACCAGTGGATGGTCTATCTGCCTTCCAAAATAAAAATAAATAGTAAGTAAATATAACTAAGTGATTTGTAAAAGGCAATTGATATCTTTAACATAATTAAATCTTTTGCTCTTTAAACAGCATCATTTTTTTTAAAAGATTTATTTATTTTATTGGAAAGGCAGATGTACAGAGAGGAGGAGAGACAGAGAGGAAGATCTTCCATCCGATGAATCACTCCCCAAGTGGCCACAATAGCCGGTGCTGTGCCAATCCAAAGCCAGGAGCCAGGAATTTCTTTCCGGGTCTCCCACATGTGGGTGCAGGGTCCCAAGGCTTTGGGCTGTCCTCTACTGCTTTCCCAGGCCACAGGCAGGGAGCTGGATGGGAAGTGAAGCTGCCAGGATTAGAACCGGCGCCCTCATATGGGATTCCAGTGTGTTCAAGGCAAGGATCTTAACCATTACGCTATCGCACCGGGCCCATCATCATTTTTAAGATTTGTTTATTTGTGTTTGAAACTCAGGGCTACAGAGAGAGGAGAGACAGAGCTTTAGTCAACTGTTCACTCCCCAAATGGCCACAAGCCAAGAGCTTCTTCTGGGTCTCTCCCATGAGTTCAGGGGACCCACGTATGTGGGCCATCTTCTGTTGCTTTCCCAGATGTGTAAGCAGGGAGCTGGATCAGAAGTAGATCAGTCAGGACTCGAGCCAGAAACCATATGGATTGACAACGCCCCATGCAGGTGCTTAGTGGTCTGTGCCACAGCACTAGGCCCATAGAGCATCATTTTTAAATTAAAAAGACAATGGACTGGGAGAAAATGTTTGCAAGTCCTATCTGATAAGTGACATACAATAATGATATATAAAGAACTGATCCAATTCAATAATAATACAAACGACCCAATTGAAAATGTGTAAAGGACTTGAATCAAGAGCTCTCCAGAGAAGATACAGAAGTGGCCTATGAGCAAATGGAAAGATACTCAATATGATTAATCATAAGTGAAATGTAAATGAAAACCACGAGGAGGTGTCATCTGCCCATTAGAGTGGTTACTGTGGAGAGGACAGAAAATAGGTATTGGCAAGGATGCAGAGCGATGGAAAGCCCTTTGTATGCTGTTACGATGTTACATGGTCCAGCAATTATGGAAAACAGACTTTTGTGACAATCATTATAACATGAAATTGTTGAAGATTTCTAAAAAAAAAAAAATTAAAAATGCATTTATAGTGCGACCCAGCCATCCTACTTCCGAGGACTCAGTGAAATGAATTCAAAGCAGGATCTCAAAGAGGGGCTTGCCCCGCCGTGATCACAGCCTCGTTCCCAGTAGGTGAAAGGCGGACGCTTCCTAGGTGTCCATGAACAAGGGAACAGGTGAAAAAAATGGTGCACATGTGGCCTGGAATATGAGTCATCCCTGAAAAAGAAGGAAGTCCTTTCTGATGCTACAACATGGGCTTGAAGACATCACACTAAATAGAATAAACTGGCCACAAAAAAAGTAATGTTTGATTCCGCTTACATCAGGAATCAAAATGCAGAAAATGGAAAGCTGGTTGCATAGGGCTGGGTCAGGGAACAGGCTGCCTTGGTGTTTAATGGCAGTAGAATTTCAGTTGTACAAAATGGGAAAGTCCTAGAGATCCGTTGACAACAATGTGAATATACTTGACACAGTTAAACTGTGCTGTACCGAAGGTGGTGCGTTTTGTTCGTCGTTTTAGTGCAGTAAAAATAAGTAAATAAAAATTTTAAGTAACTTTTAAACCTTGTTTTCATGCAGGAAGAATTAAAAAAAATTTTTTTCACCAAAAAGGTATGAATGCCTGATGAGTGCATCAAACGCTGTTCAGCATCCCTAGTCACGGACATGCAAAGTGAAGCTGCAATGGGCTGCCACTTCACACCCACCGGAATGGGAACACACAGTGCTGAGGTTGTATAGGAGCTGGAACGATTGGGTATCACTGAGATAAGAATGAACTAGTAGTCCCTCCACAAGTTGGGATAAACCTCAGAAACTCAGCAGGTGCATACTTCAAGGTCAGGGACCACAGGTGATAAGATCTCATTTTCTTAAATGTGCAGAAAAGACTGCTCTGTGGTGACCCTATTGGGTTTCTTGAAGTACAAACGTCAATGATGATTGCTGTACAATTCTGTAAGTATTCGCTTAAGCGAGTCTCATGACATGAGAAAAAAAAAAAAGCAAGAAAGTTGCTAATGGACACACTTCTCTTAGTAGAACGTATACCACAAATTCAAGAAGGATCCAAGGTGAAGCAATTGATGAATCCAGGAAAATCAGGGCTGGAACAGGGATCCAACACCCGCACTCTCTGAGGCTGCCCAGCCTGGCAGCCCTGTGGTTGCCTCCGCTCCTCTGCCACCCACACAGCAGCCGGGAGCAGTCCCACAGCTGTCCCAGCCTGCCTGGGCTGAGTGCTGTAGGGCCATGCGGCTGATGGAGCGCCTTCCAGCGACTCCATTGAACTCATTGCTGAACCATGTCCGTGACCGCTGATGACAAAGCAACAGTTTTCCCCAGGATGCTGTCCAGCTGTGATAACAGAAATTTAAAAAAAAAACACACACACACAAAAGAATATAAAAGAGCCTCAGTGATTAGGAGGAACACAAAAATAAGTTGTTGGTCATTCATCAGCTAAAGTCTGGGCCTGAGACTCACAATGGGAAAAAGACAGAAAGAAAAGTAGGGTTTGGTGGAAATCGCTTTGTTAGTTTCGCTTTCTCTCCTCTCCAATACTTCTGTAAACACAGTATTTCTTTGAGAATATTTTCACTTGAAATCCAACAATAGTTTCCCAACATCATTTGCAACCAAACAGATCTTTGCCATCTCTGGAAAAGCTTTTGGGTACGTACTTTTCCCTGTAAGCTTTTCATATGTGCCTGCCTTAATGCTTTTTGTTTTACGAATGCTGGGTTTCTGTGCCTGGCCAAGAGCTAACTGGGTCAAGTCCTGATTCTGCTAGGGAAAGCCGTGGGTGCGGGTCACTCAGGCCCCCTGCTCTCGGTGTCTTCCTGTGACTGACCGATTCGTGGCATTATCTATGTTCTTTTCCAGCTGGGAAATCTCTTTGTTTTGCATGAAATTACTCTTGAGATCTCTTCCAGCCTCAGCACAGGATTTTTTTTTTTAAGATTTATTTTAATTTTTTTTATTGGAAAGGCAGATATACAGAGAGGAGAGACAGAGAGGAAGATCCTCCATCCGATGACTCACTCCCCAAGTGCCGATCCGAAGCCAGGATCCTCTTCCGGGTCTCCCACGCAGGTGCAGGGTCCCAAAGCTTTGGGCCGTCCCCGACTGCTTTCCTAGGCCACAGGCAGGGAGCTGGATAGGAAGCGGGGCTGCCAGGATTAGAACCGGCGCCCATATGGGATCCCGGGCGTGCAAGGTGAGGACCTTAACCACTTGCGCCATCACGCCGGGCCCAGCACAGGATTTTAATGACTCTTCCCTAATGACTTTTCTTCTCAGGTCATCAGAGGCTAAAGAAGGCAAGTTCATTATTTATTTCCATTCGAAAACTAGGAAACAGGTATTTGATAGGATGTTGACTTTCCTAGGCACCATTTCACCGAAGCAGTTGTCCCAGCTGTAATCATTTAGGTGATCATCCAGCGTGATCACCCACTGGTGGGATTTGCACGTGTTGCTGATTAAAATGTGCTCCTCAGGGAGCCCACGGGGTGCGCCAGGCTACTCAGGGATGTTAGAATCTGTTTATAAAGCCGGTTGAGCATTCCGTTTATATTTTGGCACGTAGGTCACTCTGTAAGATGGGGTGTGAGCTCCTCTCCAGTGCATGCTTCTGAATATTCGCAGGCTGGGGCAGGTACGTTTTCTTTGCCTACCAACACCAAATTAGAAAAAAAAAAAATGCAGAATGAAGTGAACAATCAAGGATTTGTATCACTGTCAAATGAAAGCCGATGTTCTTCCTTCTGAACGGAAGTCGAATGCGCATGAAAAATGATTTCTTTAATTTCAGTAATTTACCAATGAGATTAACTTGCTTGCCGATTCATCGTCTAATTTTAACTATCAAGGTGAAAGAATTCAGCGTCAGCAATATTTAGCCCAAGGCGGGGACAGGGGCAGGGGTGGAGTCGGATGAAGGAGCGATGGTAATGGAAGACCCCTCGTGTACTACCTGAGACCTGAACCCTCCACCCTGGTGACCCCTGAGTTCATGGCTGAGCTGGGGGGATGGGGGTGGAGACGGACCTGGCTTCATGGCTCGCAGAGCAAACTGCTTATGTCTCCTTCTGTGTGCTGCTTTGAGATGCTGGAGCCCCATTGCTGTCTAAGTCCGCTGAAGTGTCTTATTCCGGCAGAGCTAGGTCTCAAGGCCTCACTGGAGACAGAAGCGGATTGGGATCAATTTGTCAGTGTCCATGTGTTTCAAGTGAACTGGAACGAGTGTGTGTCCCCCCTCCAAGTCCTGTCAATTCTGGGACGCTGACATGAGTGTGACTTTGGACTAGAGCAAAGGCTGGTGTAAACTCAGCGGGTCACCTGTAGTTGGTGTTTCTTACTAGACATCAGCTCGACTCCTGCTGATGGCCCTCCTATGCCACTGGAGGACCCCTTCTTGTTTATTTCCACCTTCCAGTCCAAGCAAAATGCTTTTGCAAAAAAAGCGTGAACATTTTTAGGAATTAGATACATCACTAGACACAAAGCACCTGCCACAGCATGGAAGAAGATCTTGAAAAAACCAACAACTTTTCTGACAAGAAATTCTAAAAAAAAAAAAAAAAGGTTTTGGATGAATGTCTGTTTGTAACCATTTCCCTCCCACTCCTTTATGGCAGTGATATCGCAGTGGCCAAGACATACAGTGTGCCCAGTCCCCTGTGTGCTGCCCGCAGGAGAGCAGGGTCCGTGCCCAGTCCCCCGTGTGCTGCCCGCAGGAGCAGCTGGATCCTTCTCAGAGTGCAGAGAGAGGGCGTGTTCCTCATGAGTTGGCTGTCTCCATCCACATCCTGGTGTCTCACTTTCGGCCTCATTCCCTGGAAACGGGGCCTGCAGCATCTTGGGTGTTCCAAGTTCCAAATTTCCTCCCCCTCTGCTTGGAGTCTTCTCTCTGAGTTGAAGGCTTTCTGCTGGTTTTCCCAACTGTGCATGGAGAATCTGCAGCGCAGTGCTGTTGTTGACAGTCCTGGACACTGCCTCCCCGTGACCCCCCAGGCGATGAGCAAAGCTACAGAAAAGGATGTTGGTGTCTTACAGGCCTCACAGTAACTTCTGGTCTTCCTCCCAGACAACCTTGCCCTGAGCGTGGAAGAAGGTTCGTTTCTGATTGTAACAGATCTGATTGACCATCTGAACCTTGTGTTCTCTCAAAGGGCTCGAGCGATTCGCTTCAGACAGGACAGCAATGAAGCTGTTGGAGGCTTCTTCTCTCAGATTGGGCAGCTGTACATGGTGCATCACCTCTGGGGTATGTATTCAGTAACTGGTGAGAGTGGGGATGCTGGTGGGAGAAAGAAGACAGGTGTAGCAGGCAGCCATAGGAAGGGGAGGAGGAACCCAGAGTGCTCCCCGCCTCCCTTTATACTTGGACTTCCTGTTGTCCCCAGAAGGGTAATGCCCCGACTCACCGCCTACCTTTGCATCCGGGGCCTGATGTCCCTTTCTCCTACAGTTGTGTCCCCACCCATTTTATTTGGCTCCATCCTTCCTGACTTTAAAAGCCCGACCCGGGTCTCCTGCTTTATCTCTCTGTGCTACAGCAGGAACCAGGTCTGGGTAAGGGCCTTGCTGGTCCTTTGGCAATGAGGTCTCAGGAGAAGCACAGCTGTACTCCAGCCATGAGAATCAGCCGAGGTGTTAGTTTGCCCCCTGTGGTGGTTCTGCCAGGTGTAGTGGCCCTGACTCCCCTTTCATGTTTTAGTTTAACAGGTATCAGAATGGCAAGCTTAAAGAGGACACGAAGTACAGATACTATGACACGAGTTCAATGTGTAGAAGTCACATGTGGACTTCTCTCCAGGCACGCTGGAGAGCTAGGGTGGAGTGTAGAGAACGGTTCAGTCCCATACACTTGAGGGAAATCAGTAAAGGGAGAATACACACTCAACTTGGGGATTCGCTCTAGACCAACAGGCACAGTAGGGAAGGAAGGGCTGTGCAATGTGGGAGACCGAGGAAATCAGAGGGGTACTAGAATCCTGCTCCCAGAGCTGACCAGCTAGGTGGTAGGGCAGCTGCAGCAGCCTCGGTCTGAATGGGTAAGCTCAGGCAGTAGATTCCCTGCTTTTCACCCTAAGAGTCTGGGCCAGCACCCCGTGCTCAGGCTGCATAGATGCTGACTCAACCAGGGCTGCTGTGCCCTCGGCCACCTCACACATAGGGCTTCCCAGGGATTGAGGAGGGCACAACCCTGTGTGGGGCAATGGTTGTCATTATTAGACCTCGTTCGTCAGAGTTCCACAGGGCAGCTGGGCTCTGATTTGGCCCCACGGATATCTGCATTTTCAGATGCCGTGGGTTTAGAAACAAATGTGCCCAAGCATGTTCCCTGTCTTTTGAGACTGGACCACACGTAGTTTAACCTTACCAGATTTGAGGGCATCTCTTTCACAGGTAGCGAGTGTGTGTGCTGACCAGGGGATAGGAGCTCCCCTCCTTTGCAGACATCCCTGTACATGACTGAGTGGAGCTGCACGGGTCAGAGCCAGTCGGGAGGAGGCTCCTGCGGGCCGTATGCACTGGCTCTCACCAGTAGTTAACCCAGGCACTCAACCCGTTTGCACCCAGAGCACTGGGATTAGGACTTGTGGATGGAGGGCAGTGGCAGGCTGTGAGCAGACGAGCTCTGACAGGTTGAGGGGTTGGCCCTACACTGAGGACTCTGGCTTCACAGAGCTGCAGCCAGATGACAGGAGTCCACCACGGTGGTCCTCCAGGCAGACGAAGTCAGGAGCACCCTGGACCTCTGGCATCTGAGAGCTGTCAGCTGCAACTCACCTGTCATTTCTGAATCCGTGTCTTTCTACACCTTCCGTTCACACCAGTGTCCACTGTTGTCTCCAGTTGGTGTCCCCCATATCCGCTGCCCAAATCCTGCCTTGTGGGGAAAAATGTATTAGAGTGTGCTACCCACTGAGTTTCTCAATTGCCCACCCCAAAAACTTAGCCCTCTGGCTTCCATTTTGTTTGGAGAAAGAGCCGACACTTACCAGGTACCACTAGTGTGTCAGTTACTGGATTGCTCTACGCATCATCCCTATTCATCCGCATACCCACCTGCCACGGCTGAGATACCATCTCTGTAGCTCCTAGCCAGTGATAACTCAGCCAGAACCTGTGGCTTTTGAGTGGCTGAGCCAGGCTCAGGCCTCGGAACATCTGGGCCTCAAAGCTCATCCCTTCACAACCCCAGCACCCCTGCCCTTTGCCCTCGCACTTGGTACCAGGCCTCCCCCGACCCCCTGCCTCCTCGCCTTGCCTGCCCCTTCCACCACCTTGTCTACAGGCTGTTCCTCCCTGTGTGAACACGCTCAAGGGCTGTGCTCCAAAATCCTGCCCCAAGCCAGATGTGTGTTGATGGATGTGACCTGGATCTGTAGGAGAACGGTATTCAGCTATAAAATGGCATGCTACAACAGGATGAACCTTGAGGGCATCGTGCTGATGGCAAAGAACACAGGAGTCTGCTTAGCTAAGGAACCTAGAATTGGACAGGGTAGGATTTTCTTAGGAAGAAAGAAATCCCATGGGGACATGCCTGTCCCCAAACAGAGACCAGAGCCCAGGGAAGGAGCAAGTTTGGAAATCATTAGCCAAGGACTCCATTTACAGCACCAGTGAGACTGAGTTACAGGACCCCAAGGACCATGTGCTGCCTATCACAGTGCTGCTCCCATGCCCAGAGCATCTTACTTTCCTACACTTGTGTGTCACGCATTCCTTCCAGTCACCCGGTGAGATGACAGCTTCCAGGCAGACACCTCCCCGGTGCTTGCAGACTCTGTCCTTGAACTCATCAACGTGCTCAGCGGGCCTCTGCCGTGCCTTGCCTTGCCTTGTCTCTCTCTTCTCCCCTGCATTGATCATGGTTTCCTGCACAGATCACCCAGTGCTTTGTAAAAACTGAAACTGAATTTGATGTTGCTTCTCTGATACGAGTTCCCACATACAAATAGAACATGTCATTGAAGAAATTCATTTGGTGTATAGCGGCATGGATGGACTGACCAGGAAAGATCCGGGGAAGGTTGCTGCGCTTCTCCCGCAGGGTGTGAAGTAATTTTGCTCAGAGTTAGCAGCTCAGGGTTTTCACAGATCAGTACTGACCGTTTAAGGAATGAGAAACAAGTTGATGACCAGCTCAGCGGGTGCACCAGTGGAAATGTGGGGCGTTGCGTTTGCTTCTAAGCTTTGCTTTTTCTGTGTGCTTATTTTTAAGCTTACAAGGATCTTCAGACCAGGGAGGAAATCCGGAACGCCGCCTGGCATAAACATGGCTGGGAAGAGCTGGTGTACTACACAGGTAACGCGCATGGCATGCATGGTACGCGTGGTAACATGCCATGCATGTGGTCTGGCACACTTCCCCGACCCTTAGGATCTGGTCAGCTTACATCATTACCCTTCTTTTGTAAGATTTCTATATTTCCTGAAAGTACATGACACAAAATTCTTCCTGAGCCTTCCCTTTCTGAACAAAATGGTCCATTCCCCAAAGTATCGGTCTAAAGGCATAGTTTGAGAGACTAAGCATTCTGTATGTATAATGAGAGTGAATATGTACGTGGCTGTGGGTGGTGAGACCTTGTTTGTTGTATCTCAGTGAGGAACCAGTTGGGCTGAGAGAACTCTATAGTACTGACAGGTACCAGTCCCCAGCAGATGGCATGTCAGGTGCATCTGAGCCCATGTACTACCACGAACATGGAAGAGCCATCCGTGCGCAAAGTTGATGCCAACCTTGTCTTTTTGCCTCAGAAAAATCACAGAGCATGCATGCTTCTGCTTTCCCAACCCCACCACTGATCCCAGAGGTCTGGTTTCCAGGCACAGAGTAGCCACTCCTTTGTGTAAGCTCCAACTCAAGTGCCTGGTTATTTGGTTTCATATAAATTGTATGGGACTCCACATAACCTTTGCGGAAGTCTCCACTTTTCCTTACCATTTGCACTCTGCTAATTTCACACAAAGAAAAACAGTCTCCGTGTAGGATCTGTTTTAATAGCGCCTTAGAGGACGCCCCCCCGCCCCCGTCCTTGGCCTGTTGTGAGCTTTCCTAAGCAAGTTTTTCTCTCTGAGATGAACCCCCGGGTTCCCCAAGGTTCCGGTTTTGTCAGGTAGCACGTCTCGCTCTGCGTCACAGCGACCCCCTCCGACCCGTGCTTCTGCCGTCGGCTGTCCAAGAACCAGCAGGCACGGTAACCTTGCTCCTTCTTTCAGTCCCACTCATTCAGGAAATGGAATCCAGAATTATGATCCCGCTGAAGACCTCGCCCCTACAGTAAAGCTACGGAGCTCCTATGTGCCTACACACGTTGACGTGACAAATATCTGACATCGCTTAATGTTAATTGTGTATCAAGTTGGCAGAGAAATAACTGATGTGTCCACTGCTGTATATAGCTTCAGAGAGACCTCTTTTCTTTGAAACTGACATGATTGCAAGAAAGGAAACTGGCGTTTGGGCGGATGGTCAGCAGTGCTCTGCAGACTTCTTTGAAACACCTCCTTGGTGGTCAAGCTTCCCAGATAACACCCTGCCATCTCTCCCCACTCTCTGGGCAGAGAGGGCCCAGACTGAAACCTGAATCCTCTCTAAATCAGACGCCAACCGTGGGGAGAAAAAAAAAGAAAACAACACTAGCCATTTATTTATAAAAAAAAAAAAAAAAAGTAAATCTGTTTTATAGTTACAGATTTTTAGCAAATTTCTTGTATCAGGAAGAAATGCAGATCTTGTCATCGTTGCATTATTGATTTTGCCAAGTCTCAAAGCAAGAAGAAATGGTGAAGATGTTCTGATTCCCTCTCATGTTTAATTAGCTTCCGAAGCTGTGCCCGGGACTAAGCTAGTAGTGGTGGGCAAAGGACATTTCATCAGTAACTCAGTCTTCACACCGCATGTGGGGGTGTATGTGTGAGAGGGCTTGGACAAGTGGCTCGCATATTAATTCAAAATGAACATCTGGAACAGCACTCATTTTTTCGTGCTATTTTTCTATAACAAGTAGCAACAAGAAGCGGTTTTATTTGTGACCTCAGGTGATCTCTGGTTCGTAGTATAATAAGCTCACAGCAAATACTTCCAGAATCATCTCTGAAGAGTACATGTTGAGACCGAAATCAGCCTGACGCTGCCTTCTCTGCCTCACTGTATTTGGTTTCATTTTTTTTTAACAGTGTGTCAGTTTTGTGGCTGTCATCATGAGAAAGCTCTGTTGACAAAATGAAAAGAATTGGTGTGTAAAGTCAAAGTGTGAATAAGTCTCATGTCAGATGTCAAACTTTTACATGTGAATGGCTTTCTCCAAGAGCATATACAAGCCAATAAAAATCAACTTGATTTTCACACTGTTTTGGTTTTGTGCACTTGTCCTGAGATTGATGTATGCTGGTGCCGTGGGACATGAGACAGAGCCTGGCATAAAACCCTGTGTGCTAACATCGAAACTCCACTGACTGTCCGAAGAACTTTAAACCGCTGTTACCTGCTGCGAACTTCCGGGTAATGGTGTTCAACGTAAGGAAAAAAAAAAAAAAACAAAACTTCTGTCCAGTCTCCTTGTGAGGTTTAGTATAAACTACATTTGCGCTTCCCACCTCTGAGTCTCACTAGACTTTGGACCCCGTGAAAACAAGGCCTGCGTCATCTTTGTCTGTCTCCCCCAGCCCCCTGGCTCAGTGCCTTGGCACAGATGAGCTGCTTGTCTTGCATTTGCTGGATGTGTCAAATGAAGGAGCTGCTGAGGACCTGGGATTGTGGCGAAGCTTCCTTGTTGACATGGACATCCCATTGGAGACTCAGCTGCTCTACTTCCGGTCCTACTTCCTGCTAGTAACTCCTGGGAGAGCAAAAGAAGATGGGTTCCTGCCGTCCCTGTGGGAAACCAGGCTGGGGTTCGGGGCTCCTGCAGTGATTTGAACAGTAAACCAGCTAATGATAGCTCTGCCTCGCTCCCTCTTTGTCGCCCTTTCAAATAAACAGTAATTGGGTTTTTTTTAAGGTTTTTTTTTTTTTAAGGCAGATTTACTGACAGGAAAGAACGAGAGAAAGATCTTCTGTGTGCTGGTTCACTCCCCCAAGTGACCACGACAGCCGGAGCTGAGCTGATGCAAAACCAGGAGCCAGGAGCCTCTTCTGGGTCTCCCACAGAGGTACAGGATCCCAAGGCTTTGGGCCATCCTTGACTGCTTTCCCAGGCCACAAGCAGGGAACTAGATGAGAAGTAGAGTAGCTGGGACTCGAACCGCCACCCCTGTGGGATCCCAGTGCATGCAAGGCAAGGATTTTAGCCACTGAACCATTGCACTGGGCCCAAGTCATAGTATTTTGCCCCACTAGTAACCAAACTAAGTTTCCATTTCTTGGCTATTAGTCTGGTGGGCACTACTTATACAAGTCAGCTCATTTTTAACTCTCACGCATGTGTGGCTTTTAAATCTGTTCCGTAAAATAATTATTCCATTCAGTGAGCATCCCTACCACTTAAATTTTTTTTTTAATTTTCATTTATTTTGAAAGAGTTACAGAGAGGGCACCACACAGTGGCTCAGGGGCTAAAATCCTTGCCTTGCAGCCGCCAAGATGCCATATGGGTAGTTGTATCCCAGCTGCTCCACTTCCCATCCAGCTCCCTGCTTGTGACCTGGGAAAAGCAGTTGAGGACGGCCCAGAGCCTTGGGACCCTGCACCTGCATGGGAGACCCCGGAAGAGGCTCCTGGCTCCTGACTTCGGATCGGCTAAGCTCTGGCTGTTGCAGCCACTTGGGGAGTAACCTAGGAGATTCATCCTGGTCTCCCACGTGGACGCAGGGCCCCACACACTTGAGCCGTCTGACGCATTGCTCTCCCAGGTGCATCACAGGAAGCTGGATCTGAAGCATGGCAGTCAGCACTCCAACCTGCACCCATATGAGATGCTGGCATCACAGGAGGCAACCTCACGTGCTACGCTCCAGCACCAGACCCGCCTGCTGCTTTTTCAAAGCCTCTCTAGTACTTTGCTTTCCTCTAAGCATAGATCCTACGTCTTTTTCCTTGTTTTCACAACTGCCTATGGAAGATAACTTCTTTTTAGTTCACATAAAAATTCATTTCTCACTACATTTATACTCTCAGTCCAGGCTGTACCGCATTAATGGCAGTAGGTAATGGTTCAGTGCTTGGGTCCCTGCCACCCATGTAGAAAAACCAGATGACGTTGTGGATCCCTGGCTTTTGGGAAGTGAACAGTGAACGGAAGATGGCTGTCTCTCTGTTGTTCCACCTCTTGCTTAAAAAAAAAAAAAATGCAAAACATTCGGAAGCCCATTCATACTTTTTTTCATAGTCCATGTTCTCCGTGATCCTGTTAGAAAATACATTCAGATTTTGAAAATATGATCAGCACAGTACTGAACAAAAGTCCTCTACTGACTTTTGAGTCAGATTCTCCAGAGTTTAGTGACAACTAAAAAAGAGAGAGAGAGAGAGCCACTTGCATCTTCGGCAAAATAGGCCTTCCACCCAGGGTGGGCAATATTTCATGTTATGTATTATTATCACTTGACATTCCAGTGTTAATCAGTATTGGTTAGGAGTGGCTGCCTAGGTCCCGGTAAATTGTTAACTCCGGTACACAGGATAAAGACCGCTTGTGGAAATCATTGCCCTGGGTTCCAGCTCCAAATGTGACCCAAGAGCAGTTCATGGACTGAGTGACCACGTCTCCATCTGTAGGGAAGAGGCAACGCTGTTACCACTGACCTCAGGGCAGCGAGAGTCGCATGAGCAAAGCCTGGACAGAGTGGGAGTCAGTGACGTCATCTATTTAATCACAAAGATTCTGAGGGTTGCGTACACACCTGGGCCGTCATGTACTGAGGCTGACCACTTAGAGATCTGTGCTGTTCGGTGCACTGCTGCCCCTGCCCTGGGGGTAGCAGCTGGAGCAGGGGTCTCCAGGAGCAGGGGTCTCCAGGAGGAGGTGCAGAGGAACCAATGCTGCTATTGAGCAGAAGACAACGTGGAGAAGGTGGGAGGGCCTGATGCACTTTTTTAAAGCATGAGTGGGGCTGATACTTAGCCTGGCAGTTCAAACACCACTTGGGACACTCACATTCTGTGTTATAAACTCAGGGCCTAGATTTGAATCCTTCTCTGCTGATTCCAACTCCCTACTGCTATGCACTCTGGGAAGGCAGCAGGTGCTGGCCCAAGCATTTGGACCCTTGACACCCCACATGGGAGACCCACAGGGAGACAGGCTCCTGGCTTCAGTCAGATCCAACTGTGGCTGTTGCCGATAATGGGAGAAGGGAGCCCTTAGTGTCTCCCTAGGCTAAGAAAAAAAAAAAAATGGAGCGGATAGAAGTCTTGAGGAACTTTTATTGTTTCCTCTTCGCATGATGAAAGATTTCAATTTGGATTTTATGACCCCAAGTCCTATCTTTTCCTGTTTCTATAAACAGTGATCAGAATGAAAATCTGTATTGCAAGGAGAAGAAGCAATGTGACACTAACCCAGCTTTCTGAATCTATCCTGGTGTCACCACATATTAGTCCTGGGAGAACTGTTCTGTAGCCTTTTCCATCGAGTCCAGAATTGGAAAAGCATGAAAGAGTAGTGCAGTTCTTGCATCAATTTCCAATTCACTCCTCCAACCCAACAAAGAGGCGATTGTGTATTCTGCTTTGGGGCAGTTGACTGTGGGCCATAAGAGGAGCTGTAGCATTGTATAAGAAATTCCAAGTGGGCATCACGAATTCTCAGCGGATTAGCTTCTGTGCCAATGCAGGACCCACCTCCTGGCTCAGGCTAGGGCCCTGTCTGAGGCAGGCTCTGCAACCCAGCAGTGAAAAAAAAAAAAAATGGAGGCCAGTGCCAGCTCTGTCTTCCCACCCTCCCTGCCAAGGCCCGCTGCAGCGTGTGCACACTGGTGTGTGGCGCTCGTCCAGAGAACTGGCCTGCCCGGTCCTGCCCTGTCCCGCCCGGTCCCGCCTGGAGCTCTGCACTGCTCACGGTTCAGACAGCCTCTAGGAGAGTTGCCAGGAACGTCCACAATTGTCCAGCTGCACTTGCTGTGTGCGCTCAGTGAGAGGCTCCCGACAATGCTTCATGCATCTCCTACAGAAACTAACTACGAAGAAAATTGAATTCACATGATTGGCTAGATAGCTAGTTGACCAGGTCTGACTTTGTTCAGACTGTAAGTTTTTCAAATGATTTTTTTTCAGTCTATACCTATGGCTTTTTCTAAATTGTCCAATAGTAGCCACGGATATCTTATCCTAATTCAGTCTCACCCCTCCCCCAGTTGCCCACGTCCTTCCCTTGCTTGGCAGTTCGCAAACACAGCAGGTGATGCGTGCTTAGCCTGGTGGTTAAAACACCTACACCCACATTGGCGTGCCTGAGTTCAGTGCTCAGCTCCAGTCCCCTGCAGGCGGCACTAATGGCTCAAGTCACTATGTCTCCTGGCACCCATTCATTGTGGGCGAGATGTTGGTCTTTGAGATTAGTTGCCCTTGTATTTTGCTTCATGTGATTTCAAAGTAGCTTGTTTTAAATTTTCTATTTCAGTGTATTTGAAAGAGTGACACAGAGAGAGAGAGAATTGTCGCGCCCACGTGTCTTACCGCCCAGCAATAAGACGCAGACGCGTGTGAAGTCTCCTGCGGTAAAATTTATTGTGCACACTAACATGAGGAAGGAAGCGTGAATCCCGGCAGGCTTCTACTCTTATGTGCTGTCTGGCCCCGCCTCCGCCGATGATAGGTCGGCGTCATGATTACGCAGGGTTCTGGGCGACTGGATTCGTCAGTCCCAGTGTTTACGTGCCTGCCGCGCCGCAGCTCACTGCGCATGCGTTAGGCGCGTGCGTGGTACTGCCAAAGCTACGTGACTATCCACCAGGCACCAAGATCTAGCCTCTCTGGCCGGCGCCATTTTGGGTACGGCATGTAGCCAGTACATACAGATATGGCTGGCAACATCTCCCTCCTTCTTATACAATAGAAAAATAAGCTGGTATGGGCCTGTCTTAGGTTGTAGACTCAAGGCGCACGATCCGTCATAGGGAGGCTGCGTGGCTTGACGTAGTCCCTGTCTTAGACCGATAATTGTCTGGGTCTATCTTACCCGTCATGGGCTACAACCGCGGTGGTTGTAAAGAGCAATGTCTCGACAAGTTAGTTATAAGATTGACTACCCTCTCGCGTGCAATGGATAAGTCCTGCGAGGTGCAAGGGCTAGTCAGGTGCATTATGCATCATGCTCGAACTCAGTGCAATGCCATAATGACCTGAGGTGCAGGAGCCATGATGTCCATGCTCTTAACTAAGCCTGTTGAAGCATGCTCAACCATACCATGGGGGAGTCACCATACTGCATGGCTAGTAGGGCTTGATGTATTGTCACACAATCTCGCTGAGCGCGGTGTCTCAAACGACACAGGCAAAAAAGGCATAAGGCACAGCCTGCACATAAGAGCAGAATCAACACAACCACTCCCACCCATTCCTAAATATGGGAAGTGATGTTCCAAATCCAAGTAGCCAGGGTTTCAGCAACAACAGGCTCCACCCGTGTAGAATTAATCTGGACAATGGCAATTCTCAACTCCGACTGTAAAATATCAAATTCTCTCGTCCAATTTCCTAAAAGATAGGAAGAAAGCTGGCAAGAAAGATTAGCAGCCATTGAAACATTTTGAAAAGGAATATAAGTAACACATAAACCTTGACACTAAAATTCTCAGGAGACGCTTGAAAACAAAGCGTGTCCTGTAGGGAGAATAAAAAATTACTCATATTCTCCTTAATATCATCATAAGGGAGAAAAGGCAAATCCAAAGAAGAAAAAATCAAGGAAACACTCGGGCTGAGTAGGCGACCGGTAAGGGTCGTGGAAAAACACTCAAAACTCCTCATCGTGGCTCAGCAATCACGATCCTCACAAGCGCCATACAGACCATTAGTTGCACCATCAGCCGTGTTTGCACTGGGCGGGGCACCATTGTCCTGTGGGATAGTAGGAGGAGTTTCTGATTGCGGGTCTGCATGAATCTTCCCCAAGTCAGATCCTCGTGCAAGCGCTCCAGCAGTTGCAGAAACATCAGAAGGCGGTGATGGACAGGGACGAGTCAATCGAGCTGGAACCCAAACCAGAACTGGGGCGTCCTGTGGAAACACACAAATGGCTCCTCGAGCCTGCCTAATAACTGGGTCTGGGCCCTTCCATTTGGACTCCAGAACATCCTTCCACTTGACCCAAGATTGCTCTTGCGCCGTGTTAAGGGAATGACGATCTGCAGCACTGAGGCCTTTCTCATCCAGCTGTAAAAAATTGATGGTGAAGAGAGCCAGGGCTAGAGTGGCCCGAGGGCTCTGACTGGCGAGGCCAAGCGATTCCCAGGTGGTTTTTTGCTTTTGCAACAATTCCTTAATAGAGCGATGAGCACGTTCGATTATCCCCTGACCTTGTGGATTATAAAGGATGCCAGTCACTAATTTAACGCCCATCTTCATGCAAAAGTCACGAAATTTGGCTGAAGTATAGGCGGGGCCATTATCAGTCTTAATACACTCAGGTTTACCCCATGCGGCCCATGCTTCTAAGCAATGTTGGATTACATGGATGGCCTTCTTCCCAGTTAGAACTGATGCAAAGAGCACACCAGAAAAGGAGTCCACGGATACATGAACAAATTGGTTCCTCCCAAAGGATGGGACGTGCGTCACATCCATCTGCCACAATTGATTGGGTCTCAATCCCCTAGGATTGACCCCCTCATGTGAAGCAGGTCTAAATTCGCAGCAGGCAGGGCAATCAAGAACTATCTGGCGCGCTTCCTTTCTAGTGATCCCAAATCGGAGTCTGAGGGTCTGGGCTGAAACATGAAATTGTGAATGAAACTGGCGGGCTTTCTCCCCTGAGGATGGTGGAGACACCATCATAATCATGATTTGGGTTCTGGTGGCGGCATCGGCAAGAGCATTCCCTCGAGCTAATGGCCCTGGTAAACCTGAATGAGCTCGGATATGGGTTATATAAAAGGGGTGGCTTCTATGCCAGATGGCCTGTTGAATTTGTTTAAAGAGATCCGCCACCGGGCCGGACCCTGAAATAGAGCCAGCGGCCTCCAAAACATTCACTGCATTAACTACATATTGAGAATCAGAAACAATATTCAAAGGTTCTAGAAAGGTTTGTAAGGCAAAAAGCACCATATGGCATTCTACCCTCTGGGGAGAAACCGTCGCAAAGGTCTTTTTTATCACAGTATCTCCGGCAACTAAGGCTCCGGCTCCTGTCGAGGAACCGTCAGTAAAAATTGTAAGAGCACCAGGGAGAGGACAGGCACTGGTTCTTATCGGAAAAACCACAGGATGTCGCTGTAAAAATTGTAGTAATGGATGCCTTGGAAAATGATTATCAAAAATTCCCTGATAGATAAACATTAAGATGGACCACTCATTGCTGCACCCACTCAGCACTTGTAATTGCTGAACAGTATAGGGGACTATTATGCGGTCCGGATGACGCCCAAAATGAATTAAGGCTAATTTTAATCCTTTAAACACTATTGACGCGATCGCAGATGGATACCATTGAATAGACTTAATCTGAGAAACCTGAGAATGAATCCAAAGTAACGGGCCCTGTACGGCATTCCCTTTTCATATGTCCTGGTTTACCACACTGAAAGCACACAGGTGATGTTCTCTCCCTATGATTAGACCTCAAAATGGCGGCTGCTAGTCCATGAGCTGTCAAGGGGCCTCCTGTATCCCTACAAACCTTTAGCCAATCTGAAATTCCCTTGGACTTACGATCCTTGAGTAGGGCTCTACATTCTGCATTACACTGCTCCCAAATTATCTGCTCTTCCATTTTAGTGTTCTGATCTCCCTCTCCAAAGGTCCTTTCCACGGCCTGCATTACGCGTGCCACAAAATCAGCAAAGGGCTCATCTGGCTCCTGCTTAACCTGTGTAATGCCCAGTTTCTCTTGCCCTTTAAGTGAAAGGGCCTTCCAAGCCTTTATAGCTGCAGTAGAGATCTGGGTATACACTGGCCATGGATATCTATTTTGATCATCAGAGTATTGGCCTTGTCCAGAAAGCATATTATAAGTCCAGGTCAAAGCATCACCGCCGCGCTGTTGGTTTGCCCGGGCGGTCTCAGCCAAAAGCTCTTGCCATAGGCTCTTCCAATTTAGATATGATCCGATATTAGGGAGAACAGCCTTCACCACAAATTGCCAATCAGAGGGAGTCATATTCATTCCCCCCATACGTTCTAACAGGGACAAAGTGTAATTGGCGTGAAGACCATATTGCTTTACAGACATGGCCAATTCTCGCACTAATGCTGCATCTACCTGTCTGTAAACTCTTTCCCTTTCTTCTTCTAAGACGGGGAACATATCTTGAAGTTCCCGGCGCGCGGCTGCATCGATGAAGGAAGAGCCGGCACCATAACTCATGGGCGGGGCAGATGGCGTCACAGGAGGAGGAGCCATTGATGAAATGGCTCCAGAGTCCTGAGGCCATGGGCCACGCGTGGCCGGCGCAGTAGCACCGTCATTATCTTTCTTCTCCTTTTCTAATCCTTGTCTATTTCCTGCAGGTTTACGTTCTAAGCGCCTATCCCACTTATACCCTTCCTCAGCGTCGGAAGTCTCCGAACTTGATGAGGAAGATACTGCTTTAAGTTTCACCTTTATTTTTTGCTTCAAACCGGTTCTCCTCTCCCGCTCTGTTTCTGAGAGACTATCCTGGGCAGACTGAAGGGCTTCGTCACTCTCTCTGACCGCTCCCTTATGCGGGGCATAAACCATCTGCAAAAATTTCACCAGAGAGACCTGTGCGCCCATGTCTATAACCAGAAGTGGCGGCTCATATACCTCCGATTTATGCTCCTAGTCACCCGAAAGTTCTCCCTCTCAGAGCTCCTTACCTGTTTTATGGCCGCAGTTCTGACTCCGTCCCGTTTTGAACGGGAGGCTCCCTCCAGGTCCCGGGAATTCGGCACCAGTTGTCGCGCCCACGTGTCTTACCGCCCAGCAATAAGACGCAGACGCGTGTGAAGTCTCCTGCGGTAAAATTTATTGTGCACACTAACATGAGGAAGGAAGCGTGAATCCCGGCAGGCTTCTACTCTTATGTGCTGTCTGGCCCCGCCTCCGCCGATGATAGGTCGGCGTCATGATTACGCAGGGTTCTGGGCGACTGGATTCGTCAGTCCCAGTGTTTACGTGCCTGCCGCGCCGCAGCTCACTGCGCATGCGTTAGGCGCGTGCGTGGTACTGCCAAAGCTACGTGACTATCCACCAGGCACCAAGATCTAGCCTCTCTGGCCGGCGCCATTTTGGGTACGGCATGTAGCCAGTACATACAGATATGGCTGGCAACAGAGAATCTTCCAACCAACCCCTGGTTCACTCCCCAGGTAGCTGTAACCGCTGCGGCTGGGCCAAGCAAAGCCAGGGGCCCTGTGGGTGACAGGGGTGTACGCACTTGCACCATCTTCTGTTGCTTTCCCAGACACATCAGCATGGAGTTGAATCAGAGGAGCAGCCAAGACTCAACCCATGCTCCAACTTGGGATGCCAGTGTCACAAGCAACTGCTTAACCCACAGCAGCAGAAGGCCAGCCCTCCAATATGTGGTTTTTAAAGGGCAGCATTCCTGTTAAGGCTTCATTTTTTTTTTTTTTAAGAAACTTTTGTAACATTCCATCTATGAAAGATTTAGGAAGTTGAAAAGAGAACCTCCGTTGTTCTGTGTGACGACCGTAGGCAATGGGGAGTGTGTTCCTGCTGTTCCTTGCCTGAAAGTGGTTTCCACTTAAACATGGAACCTGCATCCTAGACGCCGAAATGCATAAGGGCAGACTTGACAATTCCACACATCTATTCGGATACAAGGATAAAATTTTATTGATAGCTAAAGGGAAAAACCAGTAATTCCTTTAAGGTTTCTGTAGCATCCTTGTTTCCAATGAGTGACGGTATTTAATTTATTGCTCATCATTAAAAGGCTTCGAATAAAATATGGCTAGGACTATACAAAAGAGATTCTGGTTATAAACGGCACAGTTAATTAATGATCTTAATAACAGCAGAACTACAGTTTTGAAAAAAGACTCTTCTAGGATTTCCCAACTCTGGCTGAATTGAAAGTACCAACTTCACGTATTAAGTTGTCACGGGCAACCGGAAGCAAACGGTGCCAATCGGTGTAGCTTCTGGAAAGTAATCTGAATTTACATCAAAGCGGCTGCTATTCTTCCAGTTCTCTCAAGAGCTCCACGAAATCAGTGATGTACCATTCTGCGTTGTCCTTGACTTGTTGCCTGATCACATTTCCTCCAAACCCAATGAAAACATCCTAAGAAGGAAGAGAAAAAGAAGAGTTTTTTTTTTTTTAAATACAATGCAGCCATAGTCCAAGGCTATCATATTCTTTTTGTTTGTTTTGGAGTTTTGCTGTCATTGTTGTTGTTAAGATTTATTTCCTTATTTGAAAGGCAGATTTACAGAGAGAAGGAGAAACAGATCTTTCATCCATTGGTTCACTCCCGCGCTGGCCAAGGTTGGGACCAATAGCAATGTATTCCAATCTGGGTCTACCATACGAGTGGCAGGGGCCCCAAGCACCTGGGGCACTTCTGCAGCTTTCCCAGAGGCAAAGAGCAACTGGGATTCCACCTGTTTGTTCTCATGGAAGATGGATGACCCTGTTCACCACAAAAGACTGGCCCGGGGCAGTGTTCTTGTTGGAAACAAAAAGCTGTTCCTGCAAAGAACGGTGAGCCCCATGGAGGACGCTTCCCCTGAGATTGTGAGAAAGCTGGTGAATGAGTGAGGACACAGCTGTGGCACATCCATCCAGCTGCGCAGAGTGGGTGTTTAATGAAGAGAATGAGACAGACTCCCTGCCATCTAAGAGACCAAGACAGATGCTTACAGAATGGAATGCCACGTCAGCAATGACAGCCATGCTGAACCCATGTCAGAAGGAAGAGCCAAGAACCCCACGGTGCAGGGCAAATCCCCCTGGACCAGGCATCTCCTGACTGGATCCTGGTCTGAATAACAGGTACCTCCCTTCCGGAGTGGGAAGGGCTCAGCACATGCGCAACAAATGGCCGAGGGGATCAGGTGTGTGGCACGTTGGTTAAAATTTCCCCTTGGCTTGCCCGCATCCAGTACTGGAATACCTGGTTTCAGTCTGGGATGCTCTACTTCCTATGCCTTCCCCCTGCTGATGTGTACCCCAGGAGGCAGCAGGTGATGGCTCATGTACTTGGGATCCCTGCCAATCATGTGGAAGACCTGGATTGAATTCCAGGCTACTAGCATTGTCCCGGCCAAGCCCTGGCTGCATTGGTCTTGTGAGGAATGAACCAGCAGATGAAAGATCTCTCTGTCCCGTCTGTTAAATGAAAATAAATTTAAAGGTGTTTTAAAAGAGAAAAAACAAAGGGGCTGAAGCTATGACAGCCCACAAGGCTGCTGGTTGAGTCCCAGCTGCTCCATTTCTGATCCAGCTCCCTACTAACACATCTGGGAAAGCAGCAGAAGTTGGCCCAAGTGCTTATGCCAACCCATGTGGCAGGACCCAGAAGACTCCTGGTCCCCGTCTCCTACCCAGCCCAGCTCTGGCCATTGTGCCCATTCAGAGAGTGAAACAGTAGATGCAGCCCTCTCTACCGCTTTCTCTCTGTGTCACTCTGCCCTTCAAATAAATAACTAATAAAATTTTGAGAAAAAAATGAAATGATGGTTACAGAATTGTTGATATTTTTATTGGGGGAATTGTAGCCAAATTGTACTGAGGACTCATTTGGACTATACTGGGTGGCCTCCCTGCACGGACAAAGGGCAGTTAAAGAGCTCTGAAGGTATCTAGTTCTTCATTCACAAAGTTTCTTGGGCTTGCCAAACGTCTATTGACATTGTACAACTGGATTGATCTTAGTTGTCTTGCTGTTATTATTGTACAATGCTATTTAGCTGTTCTTACGGAACCATTGTTGCCTTCTGTCTTACATAGTTGGAAATCAACTCCTTCAAGTGAAGTCACAATCTGAGAAAAGCAGTCCCTTGATACCTACAGCAGGAGGACAGGCTTCCATGTCTGTAGCTCCATCTCCAATCATGACTATTCTCTTAAAGTGAAATTTTTCCTTTAGAAACTTGATCACTTTTCCTTTACCACCAGATTCAGCTGTTGGCTGCGTCTCATCAAAACCTGCGTATTCACCTTAGGAGAGCAGAAAAAAAACAAATGTTTAAGACCCACAGCACAGCCTTACTAGGCCCAGAGTTCCACATAGGTGAGGTCCTCTCTTCAGGGTCTCAGAGGGGGCTAAGAAGCATCCCTGGTAAAGCTACAAAGCCTGGAATTTTACCCCTGTTGCTTGGAAAGGGAAACTTGGCTTGTAATTTGTGAGCAGCTCTTGTAGATGTGCCTTTATCAGAATCTTGGAGACAGTTAGCTAATCTTCTGAGTTTCCAGGATGTAGCCGTTCTCAAACTTTGTGGAGGCAGCAGAATCACGAACACCACAAAACAGTAAGATATCTAAAACTTAAGATGTTTATCTACAATGTCCTCTAAGAGGAAATGCCAACTTATTTCCAGTCAATCATTTCTGTCGTTACACAGAAACTTCCACGTTCATTCCCTGCTTTTTCTTTTCAATGACCTCCTCAAAAAATGTTCTCTGAATTTATTTCAAATGCCTGTGGCATTACTTGGTGCCAAGGTCAAGTTGCTTCCTGACATAACTGGAGATTCCTCAAGATGAAAACACTTCCCTTGACGACAGCTGTGGTGCCATTAATGGAACCCTCCTCCCTGGGTCCAGGTGACAACAAAAGCACAGAGAGATCTCAAAACATTGAGATAGAACACATCACACCATGAGGTAGCCTGCAAGACTTGTTGCCATTCAGCTATGAAAGCCTGGGCCGGTGATGACTCAAGTCTGCTGTGGACCCCACAGCCATCCATCAAGGAATCGTTCACACACAGCTGTGCAACTGATACCACCTGCACCTGTGGCATTCCAACTGCTACCACCAGAATCCTGGATCCCAGAGCCAAGAGAGAAGGAAACGTGCTGTGATTCAAGTGTTACCGTTGAAGTAGAATTTCAGCCTGTTGGCAAATACATTGGAGGCTGGGATATTGAGCTTCGAGGCAACGTGCTCCACGATGCTCCGAAAGCCACCGGAAATCAGGAACACCTGAACGCTTCGCTCTTGCAGGCGACTGACCAGCTCTCTGTAGAGGTAAAATCCCAGGAGTGACCACCACAGAAGTGAGAGAGAAAAACTAAATACTCCCCAAGATAGGTCTCCAAGCAAGAGACATATAGAAGGCACATCACTTGGAGGGGTATTAACATCTTACGTATGTTGTTCTACTGTGCTTTGGGAACTAATGGGTGAGACTTGATTGCTTTAGAAACCATTCCATCAGTTTTTCTGCCCAGGGACCCTCACCACACACACACACACACACACACACACACACACACACACACACACACACACACAAGGAAAGCACAGATTCTTCCTGGGGAGAGAAGGAGAGCAGACATGAGCAGGACCAGACAACACAGGACCAACACCACTGCTGAGAGGGAGACGGTCTAGCCACAAGTGGGCTGATCTTACCTTATGCCGGGGGTTAGGTGTGGGGGGTGCTCTGCTAGAAGCCTCTGCACCTGCTCCCTGGAGGGTTGGATCAACGCTAGGCGCTCTGTGAGAGCTGCTTTGAAAGGCACTGCCCCACCCATGGCTCGCCGGGTCCTAGGAGGAAACCCAACAGTCAGACCAAACGTGTGAGCCATCTGCAAAGCATCCATGCTTACCACCGCAGGTCTACATGACATCCATCCATCATGTGGAAGCATTGCCCAGAACTCCCCCTGTACAGTTGACACTCTATGCTGTTACAGGTGCAAGGCCTTGGGGTAAACTCCTCAAGGTTTGTTTAAGGATCACGAGTATTTGGCGACTGCAAGGCTCTGCATTCAGTGACCCCAGGAAAGCCACACCCTCAACCCACAAATACCTCCCTTGGAAGTTTAAGCCCCCGACAGACCTCACACAGCCTGGGTGCTCTGCCATCATATGCAGGTGAACACGCGGTGGCCCATGACCTGGTGACTAGGGCCACGGTAGCAGTGGGAGCCACTGCCACAGTGCAAGCAGAGCAGGCAGGAGGAAGGGGCTCTGACCCAGGAGACTAGTTTTCCATGGGACCACCGAGGCCACGCTTCAAACTTTGACCCAAAACACCAGAAGTCGGGAGGTCCCCAAGGCAGCTTCTTCACTCAGCTATTGTCATTATCCCGCTGACCAAGCAGAGTGTGGCTTATCCATAGTTACTGTCCAGACAAATCTGATTTTTTTTTTTTGGCCATAATATTTGCCACCAATGCCAGACAGTTTATATATAAATGGACAGATAGATAAAACACACCACAAAATTCAGCTCAGTCAAAAAAAAAACAGTCTGGTGTGCATGTTTCCTAGCAGGTTGCTCAGAAGCATGTCTCTGCCTTAGCATTTATCTCACGCGGTCACTCTCCCTCGTGAACTGCTTTATCATCCCACAAGGTGAGTAGCTCCAGCCCCTACATTTCTGACACAGCATCCTCGACTCCGCAGAATTTGGCCAGCTCATCAATTCCTTCTTCTCTGATAACTGTGCTATCGACGTCAAAACATACTGCATCCGCAGAACAGAAAAGCTTCCTCAACTCTGAATTGGAGATCATCCTTGGAAAAATTCTCCTGGAAGAGGAAAACACACATCTGTTTAGAAATAGAGAGAGAGAGAGAGAGACCGAAGCTATGGCTAAACTGGCTAATGCCCTGCCTACAAGTGCCAGCATCCCATATGGGGACCAGTTTGTATCCCAGCCGCTCCACTTCCCATCCAGCTCCCTCCTGATGGCCTAGGAAGGCAATAGAGGATGTTCCAAGGCCTTGGGATCCTGTGCCCACTTGGCAAACTTGAAGAAGCTCCTGGCTCCCGTCTTTGGATCGGCTCAGCTTTGGCCATTGTAGCCATTTGGGGAACGAATCAGCAGATGAAAAATTTTTCTCTCTGCCTCTCCTTCTCTGTGTAAATCTACCTTGCCAAATAAATAAATAAAGCCTGTGGAAAAAGAAATATAAAATAGAGAGGAATGGGCATTTGGCATAGCAGTGAAGACAACATATACGAGGCCCACTATGTAGTCTCAGAGAATCTGGGTGTTGAGTTCCAGATCCACTTCCAACACCTGCTACCTAATCATGTGGATGCTGAAAGGCAGCAAGTGAGGTCCAACGAGTTGGATGCCTGCCTTCCAGGCGGGAGACCTAGACTACATTCCCAGCCCTTGGTGATGGTCTGGCCCTACCCTGGCTACTGTGGGCACTCAAGAAGTTAACCAACAGATAGAAAACTTCTCCCCTTCTCTGTCTCCCCTTTATCTGCCTTTCAAATAAACCAATAAATAACATTTTCAAAAGGTACAAAATCAAATTGCAACTGCCTGTAACAGCCAATCTACTTTGATTTGTATCATAGTCAGTATAACCCACATAGTATGCAGTCTTGGACTCATTTATTTATTACTCATTTTTAAATAATTATTTATCAGAAGGCAGAGTAACAGAGAGGGAAAGACCAGAGCAAACAAGAGAGAGAGAGGTTATCTTCCATCTACTGGTTCACCCATCAAATGGCCACAATAGCCAGGGCGGGGCCAGGCTGAAACCAAGAGCCGGGAGCTTCATCTGGCCTACATGGGTGGCAGGGGGCCAAGAATTACACAATTTCTCACTGCCTTCCCTGGCGCATTAGCAGGAAGCTGGATTGGAAGTGGAGCAGCTGGAACTTGAAACAGTTCTTTCTTATGGGATGCATGTGTCAGGGTTGGCTTAACCTGCTCTCCCGCAACACTGACTGTATATGTCATTCTTTTCTTGGCAGGTACTTAGTACCTTCTGAATGGCACATCTCTGGGGTCATTGAAACAGTGAGTTCCAAATTCTGCCCTCAGAAGCTCAGCCTAGTGGAGGCACCAACTTTCAGATACAGTTGATACTGAATCAATATCCCATCTTCTGTATTTTTTTTTAATCTTAATGATTGCAAAAAGGCAAGCACTGAGTTAGAGGTGTACACAGGAACTTCTGGCACATGATGAAACGCTGAACTTTGTCTACGAAATGGGCTTCAGGGAGCTACAGGCAATGTGTGGTGAACTGGTCAAGTGAGTGGCCCTCTGAATGGGTTCTCAAAGAGCGAGTTAAGAACATGCTGTGCAGTGAGGAAGCAGGACAGAGGCAAAGACTGGAAGAGAAGGTGGTGAGAGCAGAGGGGAGAGCAGAGGAAAGATAGGGAGGGAGAAGGAACAGAGGACAGCTGGAAGCTACCAGGGACTCAACCCAGATGCTCGGCCATGCACGATTCATAGCAACATGCAGCTTACGGGTAAGGAGTTTGCTTTTTGCTTCCAGGCCATGCAAAGCCTCGGAAGATTTTGTGATTCAAAAGAAGACACAGGAAGTAAACACCAGAACCAAGTGCACATCTCTGGTAGTGACCTATGTAGTTGCTGTCCTCATCAGGGACAGTGGAGAAAGTGAGGAGAGAGCTAAGGGTAGAGCTCACAGGCACACCCTTTAACGCGAGGCCATGCTGTGCAGAAGCCAAGGCGGACAGAGTTGCAACCAGAGTGTGGGTTTGTTGTTGTTGTTGTGTTTCGCTTTTTGAGAAAATAATTGCACTAGAATTGGGGTGAAAGAGATCCTGAAGGTTGCCTACATCAGCCTTCCATCGGGGACTAGTATTTCAGGTACAAGACCAAACAGATGATGCAAATGATCTAAATTTAGAATGGACTGTGGCTAAAAACAAACGCAAAGGGACTAGTCAACCCCCCTCAACACCGATTTCCAACCAGTGAGTACACTTGGCAGAAGAAGCTGGTTCAAAGTTGACTGTGAAAAAAAAAACCCTTTCAAACCAAGGGTTGACAAGCCAAGGCCTGCAGAGCGAATGTAGTCTGCTGTGTTTTTTTCTCAGATTTATTTATTCCCCGGCTTTAGGCAACAACCTAGGTTGCACTGTACCTAGGCAAGTGTTACACTGTAGGAAAAAAAGCAGCTAATACATGGAAGGCATTCCAGCCCTGGTTAATGCCAACTTTGTGTGCCAGGACAGTTGCCTGTGTTTTTTTTTTTTAAGATAGGTGGAAGTAGACGCTGGCATGCCAGCAGATGGGGACTGGTATCTGGGAAAGCAGGGCCCCCAGGGCATCACAACACACTGCTGGAGAACTGAGCTGTGGGGTCTGGGTGCTCATGGGCACGAGGGCTGTGGATTGCTCCGGGAAGGGAATCTGGGGATGTGCAGGAGGGAGGAATATCAAGGCAGGGGGTGACAGGTGAGGACTTCCACCAACCAGGCTGTTGCACTTGCAGGTAAACGAGAAGGCTGAGACCAGGTGGTTTGGAGGAAATACACCAGAGGACCTTTCAGGGCCAAACCAATACACCCACCCATGTGGGAGACCTGAACTGGCCTTGTGGGTTATTAACCAACATCTACTGACATACACTAAAGCCAAAGCTGGGGGGCTTGTTTGGCAGGGCTAGACAACAGTACCTGCCAGTGAGTGTCAGGGCAGGATGGAGAGCATGTTAGGCTGATGACACTAACTAGCATCTGAGAGAAATAGGTCTGGGAGTAGATTCTGTAGGGGAATTGCGAACTTACCCCTGTGGGTATGCCATATCAGCTGGTTTGTTCAAGTGCTGGAGGTGGTGATGGTCTGAGCTAGGCATGGAACCCACCAACTCATAGGTTGGGAATAGGGTTGGGAACAGGCTGACCTGGTCAGGCTGCAGAACCTACAGGCACACCCAAGAATTGTCCACCAGCACACACAAAGGCTACGACTTGGTTTGAGCTGGTAGGCAGGCTCTGAGGACTCCCTGCTTGGCCAGTGCCCTTGCTGGTGAGCGTGAGAGCTGGGACTAGGAAGAGACCAGACTGGGCAGGGCTACAAAACCCGTTGGTCTACATGTGAGTTAGGCTGGGGGTCAGCCAGGCTGGGCTAAGCAACCATATCCACAGGTGCACGCATGAGCCAGAGTAAGGGTTGGTTGTTTGGGCTTTGCCACAGCATTGGCTGGCAGATGCTGAGAACAGGGGGCAAGTCCTGTTAGACTGGACCACAGAACCACCTGGAAACTGCAAGATCTGGAGCTGAGATTGGGCCTAGTAGAAAACTTGTGAGTACCCCTCTGAGGAGTTGCCAGCTTCTGCTGGTCAGTATGGGAACCAGGGCTGGCGGAGAGGTGGGGGTCTGGTAGGACAGGGGGCAGCACCCACTGACATGTGTGCAGGCTGGACAGTGGGGTTGGTTGGGCTGAGCCAGGCTGCAGCACTCATTGGTGCGTATGACAATCAGCATGGATTGGACCAGTGTGCTGCACATACCAGCATGTGCAGGAACCGGAGGTGGGGGTAGGCCTGGTGGGGTTACTGGGGAGTGCTCCAATTAAACTGAAGCTCCCACTAGTGTGTGTGAGGGCAGAGTGTGTGGTGGGCAGGGTTAGCTGGGCCACAGCATCCTTCAGTTTGTGTATGAGGTAGGGCTAGGGACATAACCAACCAGGTGACTGTAACCACCAAGGTGTGTATAGGCTGATGTGAGTGACAGACTAAGCTGGACCCCACACTGGCTGACATACAGCAGTCAGGTTTGAGATCACGTCTGGCCAGGTTTCTTTGGGGGATCCCCCATATTGGACCATTGGACTTAGAGCTCCAACCACAGGGAAAATCACTGGATGTGTGGAGTGCATATGTCAAGAACTACGTCTCCTCCGTTGCTAAGACCTGTGTAGTGGACAGCATGCCAAGATGCACATGGGGGACATGACAGCCAGTTTACTGAGGCCTGCAGAGAACATCCACTACCATGGAGGGCAGAACAAATTGGACAACTCTCCTGGACAAGTTTTGACAGTGAGTATCTGGGTGAGTGACGACTCTTAGGTGGACTGTATCAGCCAATGGAAGGACCTTGAAAGGATTTCCTCAACCTTGGATCAACAAAATGAACAACATCTCAGAACTATCAAAACCACTTAAGCAGTATCCTCAGAACATGCTTTACATTGGGGACCCTGGAATGACACTTAGTCATCCCCCACAGCCAGGTATGGATGCGATTGGGCTATTAGGAGTGGCCTTCTCCCCTCCTCTCCCCACTTTCCCCCATTCCTTGACCTTCACCACCCTGATTGGTGGTCCACATGGGCAATGCATCCATCTTAACTATAGAAACATCATAAACCTTCAAAAAAGAAAAAAAAAAAGACTTATTTGTTATGTGAAAGGCAGAACTACAGAAGGAGGAGAGAAATCTTCCATTGACGGCTTCACTCTTCAAATGGGCACAACAGCTGGCTCTGTGGCAGGCGAAAACAGCGAGCCAGGAGCTCCACCCTGGTCTCCCACGCTGGTGGCAGCCACCAGGGGCCCAGGCACTGGAGCCATCTTCTGCTGCCTCCACAGGTGCACTAAGTCAGAATCTTAGGTGAAGCTGACTCACTAGCTTAGCAGCCTGGTCTCAAACCTGCCCTCCACTATGGAATGCTGACAATACAAGCAGTGGTTTAAACCTGCTGCTACGTCATTGGCCCATGCCACCTCTTTCGGTATGGCTTCCCACCTGGCTTCCCAGGCTCTCACACTGATCCTTCTCTAACGCTGATTTCTTAT